CTCGCTTATGTTTGGCCGCCTAATCCAATTTGGTAAGCTTATTATACTACTACTAGTAGTAGGAGACTAGGAGTATGTGCTACTGAACCAAATTCCCAAGTCCGCTTCGTTGAATGGAGGAGCAGCAGATCGGAATCTGCGAGTAAAATAGCCCGGAAAAGAAGAGTCCGCTTTATTTTAAAGTTGGTCTCTCCTCTTTGTGATCTGTCCCCCACTTCACTCCTCCTCCTGCCGCTATTTCTTTACTTCCTCTGGGCACAGAAACTTCGCATACTTGGACTGGAAGTTTTGATCCGGGAGTGGTCCGGTTCATTTCCATCTTACACAAGTCTTTTGAGGGGCGTTTATATTTCGCCTGCAATTTTTTCCATTCTCGGGGGAGACTGCAATCTTGGTTTCCTGTCTCACTTGCTTGTCTAATTCTGGTCTGGTTTTCTACTTCTTGGATTGTGTTAAGCCTTTCTGCTATGCTTTGGTGTGACATCCGATTTTCTTGAATTCTGCAGATCCTTTCAGCCGAGGAAGCAAGAATTTCGGCTGGTCCTATATGAATCCTCGGTCCCTTGTATACTAGAGGGCAGTAGGAGTTTGGATCCAAGATGAGGGGCAGAAGCGATGGGGGGCAGAGCAAGAGGCCCATCTTGCTGCTCTGCGTGATGGTCGTGTGCCTCTGCCTCCTCTTCTTGTATTTCTCTGGCTCCAATGGGCAGGCTGGGAGTGCCGCATTAGAGTACGGGACCAAGTTCTCGCGCTCACTCGGGTGGGGAAGTGATGGGGACGGTGACGACGGCTCGGAGGAGTCCATATTTGGCACCGGTGATGCAGATGATGTTGAGCTCAAGAGCTTTCCTGTAAGTTATCAATGAGTGGGTAGTATTTGTTTGTTTATTTTCTGTATTTCTTATGTTAATCCTGGAGTTCTTATTTTGTTGGTGTGAAGGTGTGTGATGACCGGCATTCTGAGCTGATCCCCTGCTTGGATAGGAACTTGATATATCAGATGAGGATGAAACTGGATTTAAACCTGATGGAACACTACGAGAGGCATTGCCCTCCTCCTGAAAGGCGCTTGAACTGCCTGATTCCCCCACCACATGGCTATAAGGTCCCAAGATGATCCTATCTATTTTCTCAAAATTTTGTCTTATTTAGATCCTACTTTGATTGACTTATGTGCACAGACCGATCATTTATACCTATACTTTTGAGATGAGCTGTTTAAGTTTGTGCTTTGCTTTACGTGATCTGTTCCGTCCAATCTATGCCTTTCAAAAAAAATGTTTTCAAGTGCTAATGTCCTATCCTTACTACACCTCATTGGACTCATAAAAATTGACTTTGCAGGTTCCCATAAAATGGCCAAAAAGTCGTGATATTGTGTGGAAAGCAAATATTCCGCACACTCACCTTGCACATGAGAAGTCAGACCAGAATTGGATGATTGATGCAGGTGAGAAAATCAAATTTCCAGGTGGTGGAACACATTTCCATCATGGAGCTGACAAATATATAGCAAACATAGCAAATGTAAGTTTGTTCTTTAGAATCTTTCACCAATAATTTCTTATCACAAACATGATACATATTTAAATGTTGGGCTTTTTCAAACTTCATTATTGTGATTCATCTTTTCTACTATCTGGCAGATGCTAAAGTTCAAAGATAACAATATTAACAATGAGGGAATGCTTCGTACAGTTCTTGATGTTGGTTGTGGAGTTGCTAGTTTTGGAGGATATCTTCTTTCATCTAATGTGATAGCTATGTCTTTGGCACCCAATGATGTACATCAGAACCAGATTCAGTTTGCTCTTGAAAGAGGGATCCCTGCATATCTTGGTGTTTTGGGAACAAAAAGACTTCCATACCCAAGTAGATCATTCGAATTAGCCCATTGTTCTCGTTGTAGGATTGACTGGCTTCAAAGAGATGGGATTCTTCTGCTTGAACTGGACAGATTACTCAGACCTGGAGGTTATTTTGCTTATTCATCTCCTGAGGCATATGCACAGGACGAGGAAGATCGCAGAATCTGGAAAAAAATGAGTTCCCTTGTAGAGAGGATGTGCTGGAAAATTGCAGAGAAGAGAAACCAGACAGTCATCTGGGTCAAGCCTCTAAACAATGACTGCTACAGGAGCCGAGCACCTGGTACAAATCCACCTCTATGCAAAAGGGGTGATGATCCAGACTCAGTATGGGGAGTGCAAATGGAAGCTTGCATTACGCCATATCCAGAACGTAAGTTATTATGCCGGGCCATCACAATTTTGACCTTTTATTGCTTACATACTGGCTGGATATCCAATAGAGTCAACTTGCATCCAATTATTTCTTCATTTCCTCATACTTGGGTAATACGGCTTGTGAATTGTTCTTTGGTTTGTATTCCACTGCATTCTTGACTGAGCATGTAGTGGTACAGGTTTACTCTTACCATTAGAATCTGAGTGAAGCAGATTGTATTCCTGGTATTGGATACTGTCAAGGTTCTTATGCACTTGGATAGGACTCAATATAATGTGGTTCCCAGTAATTCTATGTGATATAAATTCACATCCTGTTGCCCTGATGATTTGGTTAACATCATGGGAGTAGAGAATGGTTATAGCCATTTAATATTTAAATAATGTTTCCTTCTGTTTCTTTTTTATTGTTGAATTGTAAAATACTGTTTTCCTCATCTATCTTTCTGGTTAATTTAGGATAAAAATATAAGCATAGCCAAGTAGTTTGCATTAATACTTAGCCTCATGAGATTTTGCTTACATTGGATTCTAGGGTGTAAAATTGTTTTGCTTCTGTTCTTTCTTTATCATGGTTAATAAACAGGGCTAACAGCAAGCCACAAAATATTTTAGGTCAAAGCAAAATAACCAAGATTTTTTTTTTTGGTTCTCAGAAATGCACAAAGATGGGGGAACTGGACTGGCTCCTTGGCCTGCTCGATTAACAACTCCACCTCCCCGTCTTGCTGATTTGTATGTCACTGCTGACACATTTGAAAAAGATACAGTAAGTTGATCATACTATCTTTATACATATGCTACTATTTATTGTGTGGATAATTTCAGAGTTAACCATGCTTGAATGTTATGTGTTTAGTAACTGAGTGCATATCGCTAATCAAAAACTTGCTGTGCAGGAAATGTGGCAACAAAGAGTAGATAACTACTGGAGATTGTTAAAACCAAAGATAAAACCAGACACTATTAGAAACATCATGGATATGAAAGCAAACTTTGGGTCATTTGCAGCTGCTCTCAAGGAAAAGGATGTATGGGTCATGAATGTTGTTCCACATGATGGACCAAGCACTCTCAAGATAATCTATGACAGAGGGCTTATAGGTTCTACTCATGACTGGTATGTGTCATTTTATATAAAGAAAATTGTGCTTGGCATATCAGTAGTTGAGCATTATGCTAGTTTGTTAGGTTAAGGCAACTCAGTAGCTCTCTGCCACTTTTCATGCTTATACTATCATTGTCGTTGTAGCTACGAAAGCAGTATGCCAGTATGCTATACTGTCTTGTCAGATTCAGTTTTTCCATGTTGCAATCAGCTTCTGACCCTCTTACCATTCTGCTATAAAGAGAATTTGACAAAACTATTGGTATTATGAAAACTTTTTTAAGTTCCACGATTGGAAAGTTTACTAGAACTATTCTGCCTCCTGCCCTGTTAATCCATCTCAGAAGTGATAAGTTTCTTTATTAAAAAGAATTCAGTTTGGTTGTTAGCTGTTGTATTTTTTAGTTTTGATCAGTACGGCTAAATATTTTACTACTGTTAATGGTCATCCAACAATGGTGGTTAATGCTAGTCTTTTTCCTTTAGAATCTAGAAAAGGTTAGACTGATCCTTTAATGTTGCGGTTGCATTTGTTGTGTTGGTGTACATTCTTAAGTTTACTCATTCGACCCTAATCCTCTAGCCTGGAGTCCTTACGGTTTCAAGAAATGTAGTATAATGGAGAATATTTTGTTGAATTACACTTGTGATCCATCTTTCTGGACAGAGTGAAATTTTTGTGCGACTCTTTGTAAATGTTACTACTGATTGTTTGTGTTTGGATAGTTATCAACTTGTCATGATTATACTAAGGATATGTCCTCTGTAATTTTACTCAAATCTAATTTGTATATGCAGGTGTGAAGCATTCTCAACCTATCCTCGAACATATGATCTTCTCCATGCATGGACAGTCTTCTCTGACCTTGACAAGAGAGGTTGCAGCGCAGAAGATCTCCTGCTTGAAATGGACCGCATCGTTAGGCCTAGTGGATTTATCATCGTGAGAGACAAGGACACTGTCATCGAATTCATCAAGAAATACCTCAACGCACTTCACTGGGAAGCAGTAACAACTGTAGATGCCGAGTCAAGTCCAGAATCTGAGGAGAATGAAATGATCTTCATAATCCGGAAGAAATTGTGGCAACCAGGAGGCTCACAGGACCCCAACCCCAAGTAGTCTCTTCTTTTGAGTCCCTTTCGCACTGTGAGCATCTGCAGCTCAGAAGCCAAGAAGCGAGGCTCGGCTGCTCCCTCAGATACGATTCAATGTCGAAACCGCTCCTGAAATAGATTCCAGTTCGTGATTCCTAGTCTACCCACGTGAAGATAGATAATTTATCAGCATATGGCAAATGTCTAGCAGGCTAAGCGAAGGCCTATTTTTTGTTTCTACAGATACTGCAATTGTTAATTGATGTTTGTTCTCTAGTCTTGTTAGGAAATAAAGATAATTCTTTTTGTCGTGAGCTTCATCTAGGTATTTCATGTCCATCTGAAGTCTTCTGTAGCGAGTGATCAGATTTGGTTACGGTAAGAAACTTAAATTGTAAACAGATTTTGGTTATGAGCATAGCCAGGGGCCTCAAGGCTGCAACGTTCCACTGCATCTGGATTCTTGGATTGTGGAAGATACCACTAGCAGTCTAGCACTGTCCTGCCATGTCTGTGTGGGCATGCACAGATTTGTGTCCGAAGGAGAATTGGTTTCAACATTACATTTTCTTTTTCTCTCATCTGCTCTGCTTACTGCCTATTAGCAAACAATTGTACAGTACCAGGTAGAAAGCAAAACATAGGAGCTGAGACATGATAAGAATTTCATTTGTTCATTGCTACTTTGGTAGAGGATGGTTTTGTAACCCCCCCCCCCCCCCCCCCAAAAAAAAAACATGTTAATGATGAAGTATACTTTAGAATGTTGAAGTTGAAGTACAACCGTATATCAGACACAGATGCATACATGACAATCACGAGGTTAGGTTACCTGTAATCATACCCGGGGTTACCAGCTGCCTGAAAATCATTAGCTGAAGAGCATTACTGATCTCACCATATCCACGTATAATCCATGCGCATGTTTTATAGGATATGTGCATAATTCATATCACTTTTCTTGAAATGGCGTCAGCACAAGCTGCCACATCCAGACCAACCTTTTCTTCCGATTAATTCTGACCAGAGGTGCACCTTCTCCATCTGATCTTTGCAAGAACTCAGAGCTCCCAGTTTCCCATGAAGCACATCGATCATGGTATATATAAGAGATCATGGAGTGCTTCAAGAAGGTTATGGGAAAGAACTTAACTTGGTTGCTGTACAGTCTCTTGTAACCATCATAAGATATTTGGGGTTGGCTTCCTGCTGCCATCTGAGTCAGGCTTGGACTCATAAGATAGTATATATTGGTTGGCGAATGGTGGTTAGCGATGCGGCAAAATTTTCGGAACAACTACAAGGACGCCATTGACAGCCTTGTGCTGCTTGTTTGTTGGATGGTTTGGAAGAAAAGAAATGCGCGTGTGTTTCAGAACCAGCGGCGCTCAGCCGGTTTCCTGTTTGGTTCAATCAAAGAGGAAGTGACGATTTGGAAGGAAGCTGGGGTTTTCAGAAATATAGGAGAGTAGTCTCTTAGTGTAATCTTTTGCTTTTGGTAAGTTGCTCCGGTGACAACTTCCATTACTTCGACAGCTTCTTGTTGAAGTTATAACTTTGTATATTTGTATATATTCTTCAATCTTAAGTAAATTTGGTTGGCATTTCTTGGCCGGCCCGGCAATATTTGGGTAGATAAATGCAGTTTTGACCATACAAGAAGAGTACTTTTGTGTCAAACTGACTTCAATTTACCACATATCTCCACAGCTGCATGCTCCATTCTGAAAATGGTGATAGGTGCAACCATCTGAAACAAATATTTCCCGGTTCATATCCCTCGAGATGAACTTGATTGATGAATGGCATTCCATGCACATCCTAAAATTCTTTGAGATACGGATCAGATCATGAACACGCACGGAAATTAGCCCGTAACATAATGCAATCCTCTCGGTGTGTTGGCATGACAATGGATCAGCTTCGGCATTAGAATAGGGCTCAATATCCTGAGGAGGATACCCTGACTGTTCCATCCTATCAGATAAGTCATTCCATGTACTCAAAATCTTTTCGAATGCAGGATGCGAGGAATCTCCAGCCTCAAATGTGTGTACATCTGTACCAAGATACAAGCGGCTACATTGTCTCTCTACATTTAACCCCTGTTCTGTCATGGCAACCCTCAAAGCCTCAGTGGACTCCCACAAGCCATTGTCGGCATATATATTGGACAGCGACATGTAATTTGAAGTATTGTTTGGCTCAAGCTCAAAAAGCGCTTTCGCAGCCTTCTCACCGATCTCCAGATTTGAGTGCAGCTTACAAGCTTTCAGAAGGATAGACCATAGGCATCCATCTGGTTCAAGTTGCATCTTCTGGATAAGTTCTAGTGACTCCTCCAGTAAGCCAGCCATTCCCATGATGTCAACCATGCAGGTATAGTGTTTTAAGGTTGGTTGTATGCCGTATACATCTTCCATACTGTAGAAATATCTGCGAGCTTCCTCCATGGAACCTTCTTGCTTACAAGCTGAAAGAAGTATAATGAAAGTCACAGGATCTGGTTGAATTCCAGATTGTTCAATATACTTGAACAATTTTTTAACCTCTCCAGGTATCCTATGTAGCAAGTATGCACTCATTATTGCATTCCATGTTGCTATGTCCTTTTCATCAGTGCATTCGAAAACCAATCTAGCATCCTCAATCTTACCACATTTCCCGTACATATCAATCAAAGCACTTGCAAGAGCAGTTGGATAACCATCTGGCCAGTTCTTCCTAATGTAACCATGCAATTCTCTCCCATGCTGCAATGCCATAGTCATACCAGAAGACAAAAGAGCAATCTGTAATGTAACTAAGTTGGGAAGTAAATTGGATTTGATCATTTCATGGAACAGTTTCAAAGCAATTTCTGGCTTCCTATTTTGCCTGTAGGATGCTAGTATACTGTTCCATGTGACAACATTCTTGTTACTGATTCTCCGGAAGACTTTATCAGCGGTGCCCACATCACCAGTCTTACCATAAAGGTCAACCAGTTTGCTAGAAACAAATATGTTTGATATCAAACCACTCCGAAAAGCATAACAGTGTACTTCCTTCCCAAGACGATCTAACCTGAGATCTGTCAAAAGGGAGAGGACACTAGTAATGGTTGTACCATTTGGTTGAATTGAATTGCCAGGTAATGCCCAGCCTTTTGCTTCTCCATCACTCGAGACCTGCATGTATCGGAAAGCTTCCAATGCATCTGCATGACGGCCATGGTGATGCAAACCGGATATTAACGCATTCATCGATACCACATTAGGTTTCAAGCCAATTTCAACCATGTTTGACAGCAGGGTATATGCTTGTTCTTTCTGACCTGCTCTAGCATATGCAGCAATGAAGCTATTATATGTGATAGTATCAGGCTGCAATCCATTCTCCTTCATCAAGCGAAAAGCCTCCCAAGCCTCATTCATCCTCTCCTCATTGATATATGACCGAATCAATTCATTCCACACAGTGGCATTCTTCTCCTCAATGGCTGCAAACACGCTTCTCGCATAACCAAATTCTCCACACTCGGAGTACATTCCAATCAACGAAGAGCCAATGTAAACATTTAACTTGATTCCGCATCGTATAACATAAGAATGCAGCTGCTTTCCAATGCCCAGTGCCATCAAGCCAGTGCAAGCAGGGAGTATGCTAGCCACAGTCACTGCATCAGGACTCTCGCTCTCGCACATCTCGCAAAAAATGTTCAAAGCCTCGTCATACCTCGCATTCTGCACACAGCCTGAGATGATGCAGTTCCAAGAATTGACCCCTGGCTTGACGCCTCTAAGCCTCATTTCGTCAAACAGGTGCAGCGCAGCTCGAAGGTCACCATTCCTTGCGAACCCGGACACCAGCGTGTTCCACGAAATCACATCCGGCCGAACGCCGCTCTCTTGCATCGTCTCGAACAGCTCGAAGGCCTCTCCCAGCTCCCCGGCGTCGGCGTACGCGCCGACGAGGGCGGTCCACGCCACCACGTCGCGCTCGGGGAGGCCCGCGAACGCCGCGCGCGCGGCGGCGACGTCCCCGAGCGCGGCGTACATGGCGACGAGCGCGTTCCCGACGACGGCGTCGCCCGCGAACGCGGGGCCGCCCTTGGCGGCGAGCGCGTGCGCCGCGGCGGCCAGGCGCCCCTCCCGCGCCCCCGCGCAGGCGCGGAGCACCTGCGGGAGGAGGAACCTGTCGGGCGCGGCCCCCGCGGCGCGCATCGCCGCGAACGCCTCGCACGCCGCGCCCCACCGCCGCGCGCGCACGCAGGCGCCGATCTCCCGCGCGTAGGCCGCCGCGTTCGCGCCGACCGCCGGGGCGCCACGCCTCGGGCTGGCCTCCCCGTCGAGCAGGTGGTGGCGCGCGCGGGGCTGGAGCGAGCACCGCGGCGACAAGGCGCGCGGCGGCGACGGCGGCAGTAGCAGCGGCAGCATGGTCGCCATTTTTCTATGGCTGCTTAGCTCATTTACAATTTTCTTTTCTTTTATTTTCTTTCTTTTTTTTTGAGATAATTTTCCTTACCAAATCTGTCCGTGTGAACAGTTGAACCGTGGCAAACAGGCCTCGTGGGCCGAAAAATAATTTTACGGGCCCAGTTAAAATGGGCCTGCAAGTTAACCGTTAGAACTTTACGACCCAACTAAGTGGACCATCACTTTAGTGCAGTCCCATCCCGGCCCAACTATAACCGGGCCGGGCATGTGAGCGGCTTATCTTTGCGGCCTACGTAAGTCTGAATTCTGTTCCGGCCCAACTAAAGTCGGTCCGGCACGTAAGTGATCGAGCTAGATCACTTTAGTCTCTGGCTGGTTAGTCGGTCCAAATCAGATTCCGGCCCAGTAGTAACTGGGCCGGAGTTTGGGTCCATTTTAAATGGGCCAGATGATTGGTCGAGTTAGAACAGCCCGTAGCCCACGCCTCTCTTCTCCGCCGTCGTCGGCGAGAGCTCAGCTCGGACGAGGAGACCGCTCGCCGCCGGCCGCCGGCCGCCGCGCAATCGAAGCTGATTTCTCTACTCATCGCTAATTACGTGCTTAACCCGACAGGAGGAATGCATATACTCCTAATCAAGGATAGAATTAAGAAAATTGCAAAGAAAAACAAAATTAAAGGAGAGAACTATAAGATGAGGCTACAATGGAGTACTCCCTTTGTCAAATTTTTTTTCTAATTCTAAAGATGAATCTACATAATTTCTTAAACGATCTAATTCTAAAGATAAATTTGAATATATTGGCAACCTCATCGTTTCGTTTATTCATATACTTGTCCTAATTGTTTATAAGAAAAAAATATAGATACATGTGTCGTTAATTAACGATTTAGAAGTAAATATTGTAAAATAAACCACTCCCTCTGTCCAAAAATATAACAATTTTTAGCCATCAGGATTTGTCAAAAAATATAACAACTTCTCCACCAACATTCTCTTCCTAACCAATCACAACCCTGCACCTTTCACTTTTATCACCTACCTGCACTACTCATCCAATCACAACCCTTCACAACTCATAACTACCTACTTTCTTAATAACCGTGTCCAACTCTAAAACTTCTTATATTTTAGGACGGAGGGAGTATGATTTAGTAAATAAAAAAATCAACTTTAAAATTACATTTAAAAATATTTTATAAGCATAAGCAAAATAATGAAAACTTGAACTTTTTTAAGCTACGAATCAAAACAATAATTTATGTTAAGCTTTATAGCTAAAAGTTGGTTTTTCTATAACAGAAGAGGATAGGCCGTCAGGGCAAACACAGCACACATGTGGTAGTACAGTGTAAGCCTAATTAAGGAAGCACAGTAGTATTTGTACATATTGTGGTGCGTATTATTTAGAACTAATTTTTTGTACGTACTGGATCCCTGTCGAGTACTCGAGTAGTACACAGCTTGTATGATGAGTGCATGCCCTACCACAGTATAGATTTTCCCGTGTGGTCGAATCGGATTTTCGCGGGCGGAGCTTCGGCCCGTCTGGAACAAATCATCTGTAAAAATTGCTATTTTTACGTACGGGTGGCGCACCCACATGTGAAAATTGGATTTTCGCGTGCGGGTGCTTATGTCATCCAAAAATAAAAAATCGAAAAAAAAACAAAATTGAAAATTACAAAACCCTAGCCGTCGCTGTCACCGTGGCTGGATCCGTCGCCTGTGTCGTCACCCGCTCCCGTCCTCGTTGCCAAATCTGTGCCGCCGCTGGATCTGCGCGGGGGGTGGCCGCCACCGCCGTCGCGCGCCACCTCATCGTCATCGCCATCGCCGTGGCCGGATCCACCGCCCGCTCCCGTCGCCGTTTCCAGATCCGTGCGGCGGAGGTCTGCCGCCGTTGGATCCGTGCGGGGGGGAGGGGGGTGGCCGCCGCTGCCGTCGCGCGCCACCTCGTCATCGTCGCTGTTGTCGCCGTAGAGGAGGAAGGCCAGGGAGGGCGGCGGCCGCCAGATCGGGACGGGGGAGGGTGGCGGCGGCCAGATCGGCCCGGCGCCTCCTCATCGGCCCGCGCCCCCGCTCGCAGTGAGAGAGAGGAAGAGAAAGAAAAAGAGGGGGAGAGGAAGAGAGAAATGAGAGAGAGAGGGGGGATGTGAGAAAGAGAAGAGGAGAGGATAGGTTGAAATATGGATAAGGATGAAAATTTTGAAGTGGTGGGAGGGAAAAAATTAGAGAGGGGGGAGAGTTTTCGCGTAAGGTCCACTTAAGAGGCCCGCACGCGAAAATCAATTTTTTCGTGCGGTCTTCTTAAGTTGACCGCACGGGATAAATGAGGATTATCCCGTGTAGTCGGATTAAGATGCTCGCACGGGAATCAACCTAGTGCCGGACCCCCTATTTTCCCGTGCGGTTCCACTTACGGACCGCATGGAAACAAAAGGGGTGTCGAGAAAAATCTATCCTGTAGTAGTGATGCGATCCAACGCGTAAATTAATTAAGGACTGTTCATATTATAGCCAAATAAACCTTATCAAATTTTTGCAATTTGGCAATATTGTCAAGTTTTGGCCGAATTTCTTATATATCTTCCAAACTTGAGTAAAAAAAACTAAATGGATGTATATCTTTGACAATTTTACCAAAAATTGGTATGATTTGAAATGACATCAATCTGAACAACCCTTAAGCTTCGTACGTACTTCCCCCGCACCAAAAATAAATTTATCTTTTATCCATCGCACACAAACTAATAAAAACATAAAAAAAACTATATAATACGTATACTTTATTAAATCCCAATACAATTTTATTTCGTTTTTTATCAACTCACAATACACTTATACTACTCTACTTTCTCAAACTCCAATTCAATAATTATATAAAAATGAATTTATTATAGAGTATTACTCGAGGCCTCCGTGTCATCTCGATCGATAGATCATCGTCTTTGATGATCGATCAGTTCCTGTGTACTGAATGTATCTCTCAATGGACAGTGTGATCACTATTGCATTACTGGAAATTAAACCTGACCAGATTAATTGCCGCTTGATTATTTGCTTTCTGTTAGTAGTATATGTAGCACGGGGCAACAATACAAGCCCTGTGCTACCTTCGGACCTATCTCGATTCATTTTTCACTCAGCTCATACTATATTTGATTATTTGCTTTCTGTTAGTAGTATATGTAGCATGTTTGGAGTGACGTGTCTATCTCCAAATCTTGTTTTTTTTAATAAAAAACAAAAAGATAATACTTTTCACTTTACCAAATCCTAATAAAATTGTTCTTTACTTTATTTTTTAGTGTATTTGTTTCTTACTTTCACGAATTCTAACAAAAAATTATTTAAAATAGAAATATGATAGATTAATTTTTTGTACGAATATTGGAGTACTCGGCTAACTGCATATGCAGACGGCTGTCTCTGGCGTGGGATGATACATACACCTGAGTTGTCGCTGGTAGAATCATTCTCCATCCCATAAATCTAGGGGTTGTTCGGTTGTTTAGATTTTTGGGTGTCACATCGGGTATTATATATATATAGGGTGTTGTATGGAGTTCGGGCACTAATAAAAAATAATAATTACATACGACAAATTTATTAAGCCTAATTAATCTGTCATTAGCAAATGTTTACTGTAGCACCATATTCTCAAATCATATAGCAATTAGGTTTAAAAGATTCGTCTCGCAAATTAGTCGCAATCTGTGCAATTAGTTATTTTTTTAGCCTATATTTAATACTTCATGAAGGTGTTCAAACGTTCGATGTGATAAGGTGTAAAATTTTTGTATGGGAACTAAACAGGACCCTAATGTATGCATTGTACTTCCTAATGTCTCAAAATGTTGGGACCTACTCCCTCCGTCTTATTTTAAGTGCAATTTTCGGTTTCTATATTCAATTTTTGACAGTCCATTTTATTTGAAAAATTTTATAAAAGATGTTAATAAAAAAGTCCGACATAAGGTAATATTCATGTTTTATCATCTAATAACAATAAAAATACTAATCATAATTTTTTTTTAAATAAGACAGACAGGTAAATATTATGTACTGAAACCCACAACTGCACTTAAATTAGGACATAGGGAGTACTCCTCTATCTCATAAAAAGCTAATCTACAAATGTGATGAGATGTTTTCTAGAACAATGAATCTGGGACAAAGGCTTATCCAGATTCATTGGAATAGAAAATATTCCACCTCATTCTAGGTTAGCTTTTTATGGGACGGAGAGAATAGGCATGTCTAGATTCGTCGTTCTAAAATAAATTATATCTCATCTTAAATAATAATATTCTAAATCGGAGGTACTACTACCAGTATATGCTCCATCTGTCAAAAAAAAAAAAGGCCAACCTTGATATAGATGGGACATTACCTAGGACAACGACGGCGCCAGCCACTCTGGCGAAAAAAAATCATTTCTAGGATAAGTTTTTTTAAAGGTCTATTTGTAAATAAGTTTTTCAAAAGAACCAAAATGTGAAAAATGCTCGCTCTGCCACTGCCTTTGCCTGCCAAGATTTATCAGAGCTAGCAGCTAGCTGTACATGTGTGTATTCGTCAGAGTGTACGAGTATATATATATATTTTCATCTGATAAAATCATGTATGCCAGCCGGCTATTTATCAACCATTTATAATTCTACGTATACTTAATTACATATTCCCTCTTCTTTTTTTTACCTCTTTTGAGTAGCCGAATGACTAAGTATATATAATTTGTAGTAACAATTAGAGGGCACAAACAAATGAATTTACTCCTCCGTTATAGTAATAGCTTTAGTCTTTAAAATTTATTCGAAACAATTTATCCACCTATATTCTCATCTTCTTAATCAATCGCAACATTCCTTAAAAAAGAACACAACAACTACAAACTTTTGATTCCATATATATATATGATGATCGAACTGGTCGATCGACATCGTACGTCATGCATGCATATACTCTTGTACTACAACTTTTCATCACGCCGGTCTCTGCATGCCCGTGAGTGAGCATACCAATTGTACGTACATCGATCTCCAAG